ATGTCAGATTTTGTTCTTTGATAGTTTCTGGTGTATTGGGATTTTATTGTATGTAGAGCCACATTTTAGGTCCTTATGCTTTGGGGTTTTTTTTTTGGTCTAATTGACTTTTTCTGCATCACCACTAAGGCTTTCCTATGTTGCTGACACCCATCCACTCTCTGAAAGGACCTTTGTGATCTCTGGGGGCTTTAATGTGCCATTTGTTTTTGTTCGTGTTCTTCTTTGCCAGCAACAGCCATCATTCAGGTTGAAGACCAGAATACAGGTGCAATTGAGAACATTATAGTTGAAGTCAAAAAAGAGCCAGATGCTGAGCCTGTGGAGGGGGAGGAAGAGGAGGCACAGCCAGCCGCCACAGATGCCCCCAATGGGGACCTCACACCCGAGATGATTCTCAGCATGATGGACCGGTGATGACGGGGCTTGCTCGTCTCCAAGACTGCTTTGGGCTGTGTTTAAACGGTCCGAATCTTAATTTTTCTCCTTTCTTTCTTCTTTTGGCTTTGGGAAAAGCATTTTACACCATTTTACCAAACATACTGAGAAAGAAAACTTCAAGGATGATGTTAGAAAAATGTGATTTAACTAGACCTTGCTGTTTGATGGTAGCAAATCATGGAATGTTCTGAGTATCTGAGGGTTTACTTTGAAGTGCTGAGGACAGTGTTCATGCCTAACTAGTTTTCATAGATGGAAACAGAGACATTGAACCCTCTCTCTTGATTTAGTAAACCACTCCAGAATGCCCACGAGTTTCCCAGAGTTCTACGGTCTTCTTCCCAAGAGAGTTTTTAATTGTAAATGCAGACTTGGGAAGGACTTAGACTTTTAACCTGTTTTTTGCTTTTGCTTTTCCCTGACTCCCTTTGCTCGGAGTCAGCTGCACACCAGTAGTATGGCATGCTACGATTGGTTTCTGTCCTGAAAGTTTTGCCTCTTTCTTGGCAAAGTTTCTGGTATGGTCAAGCTTGTAAATAACTTTTTTTACATTTTAATCTTTTCCATTAATTAAGAGGTTGAAAAGAAGTGCAGTGTAAGAAAACCCAGCATTTTAATTACTTGCAAATTAAGTGACCACGGACTTGGTGGTGTGTAAATGTTGACAAGGAGTTGGATCACAATCATGTAGCAGAAGAGCACCCAGACTGCTGCCTGCTAGTGATGGACACCCATGTGGAAAGTCGTGGTTTCCAGCCCATGGAGCCAGCATTTGAAACTTGTACAATTAACTTTCAGTTATGATTTCCCATCGACATTTTCTTTGCTCTGTTTGTAGCTGAATGTTTTTATAAATCCTCTGTTAAAGCCAGAAGGATGATTATGAGTGGAGCAGCCCTGACAAGCTGGGCCACAAAATTTTAGGTCAGTAATTGAAACTCTGGATTTTCAAAAAATAATAATAATAATGTGAAGAAAAAACCAACTAAAAAGTGATTCTTGCACATGAACTGTCACATGTTTAAAATGTGTTTAGAGCGCCTCAGTCTTACTGATTTCAAACACTTTCTTCTGTGTATTGCTTTTAAGAGACCCATCAGTTAGCTATCAAGACTCTAGGTTGATGCATTTTGTACTTAGCTGTACTGTGTGATATTTTTCATTATTTTAGGACGCCAACATGAGACCTGTAATAAAATATGTAATGGGGTTGAAAGCTGGGGAGGAGGATCTACTGCTGTACAGCAAATAAATCATAACGGATTAACAAGTGCTCTGAAGACTCCCTCTTACATGATTCCTGCCTGCTGCAGGTCTAGAAGGGCCTCTGTGTGGCTCTGGGAACACAGGACAAGATGTGTGCAGCTTTGGCTGCTTTATGGTCTCTGGTTTGCCAGGCCTCTGAGAAAAATGTAACCAGGTACTTCCTAAGTCTTGGGATTCCAAGCCAGGCAGTTAGCTTCTTGCATGTTAGTGGCCTCAGGCTGTCAGAATGAATTCATTGGATCGTTCCCCACCAGAATTGTTTCAGTGGGCCCATTACTTTTTAAAACCTAGATGTATTTATAATAGAAAATCTCTTTGGAGAACACTGAAGCTGCTTATCTATATATTCTGTTTTCTGATTGTATCTATTGAAGTTGCTGGAAAGTTTCAAAGTAGCTTCGTTTTGGCTGGGGCCGGGACAAGAGAAGTGGCATTCAAATGATGCTGGGCTTAAAAGGGATCCTCTGTTGCATAGCCCATAATATGTTCTGTGTGACTCTACTAAATACAAAACCTCCAGTAGCAGGAGCCAGCTGTCACCTATATTCTTCCACCCAAGAGAACTCCAGATGGATAGTTACTGAGCCTGTCCGTAGCTCCCTGCCTCAGTGTTAAATCATAGTTTGTACTAAAGAGGTATCTAGGGACAGGGCATGTGGCCTAATATAATATTAAAGCACTTGCCTAGCATATGTGAGGCCCTGGCTTTAATCCCCAACACTAAAAACCCTCCTTTTTTTCCACACCTGAGCTGGCATCACCCCTTTCCACTGCTTCCTGGTAGCAAGCATCAGAGTGAACCCTCCTTGCTTTTGGTGAGGATCTTTGGAGGTGGGGATGTTGCTGGGAATTGAACCAAGGGCCTTTACAGTGATTATAGTGATCTAAATCCTGAGCCCCTTTTTAAGGAAAGGTTTTGCTAAATTGCCCAGACTGGGCTTAAATTTTTAATCCTCCTGCCTCAGTGTACTAGAGTTTGGTGACTAGGGGGCTGGGGATTTAGCTCAGTGGCACAGCGCCTGCCTGGCAAGTGCAAGGTCATGAGTTTGATTCCTGGTACCGGAAAAAAAACAAAAACAAAAAACAAATAGAGTTTGGGGACTAATAAAGATCACATCCAATCCTGTTTCAGCATCTAAGTACTGTATATTGTTCTTCCTTGATTGTTTAAAAGAAATGATACACTGACAAAATCAAATCCTTGGACTAACACTCAGGTAAGTTAACTACTCCTGCTGAAAAAATGAATTAGAAGAGCCAGGCATGGTGGTGTACACCTGTAATCCCCACACTCAGGAGGTTGAGGCAGGAGGATCACCACAAATTCAGGGCCAGCCTGGACTACATAGTGAGACCCTGCTCAAAAAGAAAAACAAAAAAAACACAAAAACCCAGAGAGGCTAAATAATTTGTTCATTATCAAAACTGACACAGTCTAGCAGAGTGATGATATACACCTATAATCCCAGCAACTCTGGAGGTTGAAGCAGAAGAATGTCCAACTTGAGGCCAGCCTGAGCAATTTAGTGAAACCTTGTCTTCAAATTGAATAATAAATCTGGAGGCAGGTTGTATATAAGGTATAGCTTAGTAGTAGAATATTTGGCTAGTGTTCAAACCTCTGAATTTGATTCCCAGTACTGCTGTCCACTTAAAAAAAAACGAGGTAGTCTTTAGAAGCCAAAATTCTTGGTCATACTGTGCATGAGACCTGTTAAGCTGACCCCCTAAAAGTAGTTTGAGAGTTCCACATGGTCTTAAGAGTTTAGGCCTCAGTCTGGGCTCTCTGGAAGGCAGCAAGGCCTCTGGCCTCTGTGGGAACTGCTGCATCCTCTCCAGTCAAGTCCTCACTGTCAGCCTTTAACTGTCACACCTGTACCTGTTGCTTAGGTGGAGGAGGTGACTTCCAAATGGCTATTGTTTGCTTTCTCCTCTCTGCCAGCTTCCAGTCTTAGGGGACCTCAGCAAGTGGGTATTTTTGTTTTTTGAGGCTCTTGACTTTGTGCGTGCTATACAAACTCTACCAGTGTGCTGCAACCCCAGCCCTATTTAAGAAACAATCTTAGGTTTTCCAGGCTGGCCCTGACCCACTGTACCCCTCCTCCTGCCTCAACCTCCCAAGTACCTGAGACATTTTGGGAGGATGAGAAATGGGTGGTACAAGATGTCTGGGGTGTCCTTCCACTGTCTCCATGGGAGGGACAGCTAGAGATGGGAAAAACCAAAGGATTGCTGCCCAGTATGTGGTTTTTTTCTAGGTCTGCCTGCCTGAGCCGTGGGCAGGGTAGAAGGCCACTCTTTATTTCCTAAGTGGAGTTTAACATTTGTAATGGGAGAAAGGAAGAAGTAATCCTTTCCTGTGAGCCTTCCAGAATCTAAGTCCCCTGGTGTTTTATAGGACAGCATGCCTGTGTCCGGCAGACTTGCACCCTCTGACTCTTCTGGCCTTTCCAGTCCTGGAGACACTAGCTTCCCTGTTAGTCTCTCTTTCACAAACCAAAATCCAGACACAAGCCCTGGAGTGGTAGCATAAGGCCTGTAGTCCAGCACTCAGGATCCTGGTAAGTTTGCCCTGAGTGTGAGACCATCCTGGACTACATAGCTAGGGAGACACTTTGTTGCAGCCAAATAAATGAATAAAATGGGTCTGGAAGGGTAGCTCAGTGCAAAGGTAGCTCAGTACTGGTTTCAATGCCCAGTACCACCACCCCCCCCCAGAAAAGTGCCCCATGCTTGTAGTTCCAGCATTCTGGGAACCTAAGGCAGAAGGATCATGAGTTTGACCCCCGCCTGGGCAATTTAGTGAGATCCTGTATCAAAAAGGCCTGGGGGTGTAGGTCAGTTGGCAGGTCGTGGGTGTATGCCGACGCCAAAAACAAAACTAACAAGGCAACACCCATGTCCCTAGCCTTTACTCGTGGGTCACTCTAGCCCTCCCTGATGTCCTTGAGGTTCAGATTTTACCTGAAATAAGAGCCCCCTCCTATACTGCCACCTTTCAACCCTGATGCGGTATTAATCAGATAAAGCTGAGGACCCTCTACAACAGAGAAGGGGCCTGGACCCATCCGGCCATTTTTTTCATCCTTTTAGAAGTTCGTAGATGCCCTGCGGAGTCACGAGCCCAATCAGGAAGCGACAGGGCCGGCCCCGGCTGTCAGGAGATAGCCGCTTCTGGCTGAGCGACTCCACTCCCTTGGCGCTGGTGCTGCTCCCGCCTCGGCCCAGGAGAGCGGCACCAGAGTGGGCCTCGGGATCCCCTGGCGGGCAGCGCTCCCTGGTGTTCGCGGCAGGGACTGCGGGGCGGGGTAGAAACCCAGGCGAGAGGAACCGCAGGAGGCAAGATACACGGGCGACCCTCGGCTACACGCCCATTGAGTCCCGCAGGTGCACCTAGGCAGAGAAGTTCCCTCGCAACTGGACTTGGCCGCCCTCCCGCAACTCCGAACTCGGGCGAACGCTCGACCCTCAAGACCTGGACGGGGAGGGGCCGGGCCGGGGGTGGCTGGCAGGAAGCTGCGCATACCTTCCGCTGCAAGAGGAGCAGGTGGCTGTAGAGCGCCCGGGGCCCCAGGCTTCCTGTGTGTGCGCCAGCCTGCTGCTCTTTCCCGCCCCGGCTTGTTGGGCCACCGCAGCCGACCCGGCCGGGTTCCATGGCCCAGACCCCGGACGGCATCTCCTGCGAGCTGCGAGGTAAGCGCTGCCCCTTCCTGCCCGCTTGGCTGGGCCGAGGCAGCGTGGCCTGAAACCAAAGGCTCACCCAGCGCCCCGGGAATTGTAGAGCTTCTCGATGCTTCTCTTGGAGGCTGTCCTCCCCAGATCCACTGCACTTCTTCCTGGTTGCCCCATAGTTGAGCCTCTGGCACTCAGCCTGGCACAGGCAGTGAGCACCAGTGTCCACGGTGGACACCAGTGGCCTCGATGGGAGGACGAAAGTCATCCAGCAGGCTGTCCTTCCACAGGCGAGATCACCAGGTTCCTGTGGCCAAAGGAGGCAGAGCTGCTCCTAAAGACCTGGCTTCCCCAGGAAGGTGTTGAGCGAAGTCACATTCTGGTACGGTGGGCAGAAGCAGAGCCCAGGAGGGCTCCTGGGGCCCAGCAGAAAGTCTCTTGCTTCTGCCCAAGTGTCAGTCTCTGTCTCCCCCAGGCACTGCTGCGATGGAGGGCCTACCTGCTACACACCTGCCTCCCACTGCGGGTGAGTCCCAGGGCCTGGCCACCACTGCCTTTGCCCTCCAACCACTTCCTTGGCAAGGGCCTCCACCTAAAGAGTTGCCCTCTTGCCCTTGTGTGATCTGGCACTGGGGTCCAGGCTGCACAAAAGACCGAGGACCCAGCCTGGCATGGTGTCACACACCGGTACTCTCAAGACTGTGAGAGGCTGAAACAGGAGGATCACAAGTTCGAGCCCAGCTGGGGAACTCAATGACTTAGTGAGACCCTGTCTTAAAATACAAAATACAAGGAGCTAAGGATGTAGCTCAGTGCAGAGACCCAGGGTTCAATTCCTAGTACTGTGCTCCCACCCTCCTGGGGTGGCCTTGGTCCCAACTGATTCAGTCACTCCCTAGGTGGCCTGCACTTTCAGCTACCTAGAAGTCCAGTCCATGACACTGCAGGAGACACCCCCTCAGGTGAGACATCTGGTGCCCCACCTCCCTCTGAAACTGCATCCCTAACTCCTTACACGTAGAGCTCTGGATAGGACACCTGGCCCCACACATGGAGCTGAGGCCCAGCACCTCTCCCCTCTTCAGGTCACCTTTGAACTGGAGTCCCTGCCTGAGCTGGTCCTAGAATTTCCTGGTGTGGCCACCCTAGAACAGCTGGCCCAGCACGTGGCTTCGGCCATCAAGAAGGTCTTCCCTCGCTCAGCCCTTGGGTGAGGCCCGGCACTGTAAAGGGCTGGAGGAAGGCAGCTGGAGATGTTCTGATGGGCATAAGTGGGCTACTACTTCTCTCAAGGCTGCAAGTCCACACTGTGGCTTCTCCTTTTCCTGCTCTCCAGGAAGCTCTTCCGGAAGCCCACACCACCCTCAATGCTGGCTAGACTGGAGAGAAGCAGCCCTTCAGAGTCCACAGCCCCCAGCAGCCCCTGTGGTAAGGGCCACATAGACTTTCCAGTCAGCCCCAGATCCTAGGAGTTGAGGGGCTTCCAAATTAAACAGAACCACAAGGGTCGTAGGTGCCACTCAGCCTGGGTCTGATCTCCTGCCATCTCTTTTTGTCTCTCTTCTTCCCTCTGTCATACCCCTGGCACCTCCCCAGGTGGCTTCTTGGAGACATATGAGGCTCTGTGTGACTACAATGGCTTCCCTTTCCAAGAAGAGATTCAGTGGGTGAGGATCGGGCCCTCTGTGGGGGAGGATCGGGCCCTCTGTGGGGTACTCTGGAAACATCTGATCCCCCATGTGTGCTGACCCCTCCTCACCCTTAGTGGCCTCAAGCCAGTTGTAGCTACTTTCTTCCCATCCAGGATGTGGACACCATCTACCATCGTCAGGGATGCCGCCAGTTTAACCTAGGAGACTTCAGCCACCTTGGCAGCCGGTGCGAAGCCTGTCAGGATTGGGAGGGGAAGAGACATCCAGGACTATATTCCTGGGCCTCTGTCTCTCTATGGAGGGGATATTGGGCTAGGACCCGGCCAGAAGGACCTAAGTTCTGTTCCTGCCCTTCTCCCCACCCTCCACCCAGAGACCTGGCCTTGAGTGTGGCCGCCCTGTCCTACAACCTGTGGTTCCGGTGCCTCTCTTGTGTGGACATGAAGCTGGTGAGCTTGTAGAGAAGGGAGGAGCCAGGGGTATTGGAGCCAGGGTGTACCCTACTGAGCCATAACCCTGTGGTCTTAGAGCCTTGAAGTCTCAGAACAGATTCTGCACATGATGGGTCAGTCATCCCACCTAGAAGAGCTGGTGCTGGAGACCTGTGGCCTGAAGGGGTGAGGAGCCAGAGGAGGGCCTGGGGAGGGGAGTCTTGGAACCTGGGATGGGTGCTAGTCCCCTGGAGAGGACTTGGGAATCCAGAGTCAATCTCATACTTGGGTTTTGGTCCTCAGAGACTTTGTCCGGCGGCTGGCCCAGGCATTGGCAGGACATTCATGCTCCGGGCTTCGAGAGCTCAGCTTGGCAGGGAACCTGCTGGATGACAGAGGTATGGCTGAGCCTGGAGAAGCCCGGAGGAAGAAGCTGGGGGATGTGAAGCTCACAGAGCTGCCCAATCCCCAGGTATGGCTGCACTCAGCAGACACCTAGAGCATCGTCCAGGAGCCCTCAGGAGACTCAGCCTAGCCCAGACAGGGTTGACACCTCGAGGTGAGCCAGGAGACGGGGTGGGAGAGGAGAAAGGGGTCTGCCTGACTGCTGAGCCCCCCATCTCCCCCTCCAGGAATGAGGGCTCTGGGCCTGGCACTGGCCACCAATGCGGCCTTTGACTCTGTCCTGACCCATCTAGACCTTTCTGGGAATCCTGGGGCACTAGGCGCCTCAGAGGACAATGGGGTGAGTGGCTGTCCTCGCCCCATTGGTGTGATACAGGCAGTGGGATGTCCAGAAGCCTTAGGTAGGAAATAACTGACTCCCTCCCACCCTCAACCTCCTACCAGGGCCTCTATAGTTTCCTGAGCCGTCCTAACTTTCTAATGTTCCTGAATCTCGCAGGCACAGACGCAGCCCTGGATACTGTGAGGGGTGTTTGGAGGCGGGAGGGGGTGATCAGCTGGGCTTGGTAGCCCAAACTGGGTTGATTGGAGGGCAGGGTGGGGTGGGGAGCGCTTGGTGCTCCCTCGCATGCAGCCAACACCCTCCTCCTGCAGCTCTTTGCAGCGCTGTCCCGCGGCTGCTGTGCCAGCCTCACCCACCTGGACACTTCCAGGAATGTCTTCTCTCGCTGGTAAGGGTTACCACTGTGACTAGGGCCGGGGAGGCTACAGGAAGCCACCTCCCTGAGTCTGAAGTCCATTTCTCCCTCTCCCGACCCTAGCAAGTCCCGTGCCGCCCCTGCCCCGCTGCAGCTCTTCCTCAGCCGTGCGGAGACCTTGCGGTACCTGGGCCTGTCGGGCTGCAAACTGCCACCGGAAGCGCTCAGGTCAGCGTCGCCGTGCTCAACCACGCCCCCTCACGGACCAAAACCATCCTAATCTGGCCTCTGTACCCCGCAACTCCAACACTCGGAACCCCCAGACCCCCTGTGTCCTGGCCCTGTCTTTTTGGTATTCCTTCGGGTTTTGGGATTCCTTTGGTATCCCTCCGGGCACCCCCTATCCCGGCTCGCATCACCCACTTGGCATCCTCTCCCAGGGCCGTTTTGGATGGTCTGGCGCTCAACACACACATCCGAGACTTGCACCTAGACCTCAGCGCTTGTGAGGTGAGCATCCTGCCCTAGGGGTGAGCACGCAGAGCTCCCACACCTTGGGAGTGGGGGTTATTGGCTGCCTGCCCCTCCCCCACCGTGGCCTGAGTGTACTCACTTTCCACTGCCAGCTGCGCTCTGCGGGTGCCCAGGTGATACAAGACTTAGTGTGTGATGCAGGCGTTGTGAGCTCCTTGGATTTGGCGGATAATGGTAAGTTCCACCGGGAACCTATCCTCTCCGTTGTCCTGCCTACTCCTGACGCCTACCCCACCCCAGCAGTCTCGCCCTGTACGTGACCCTAGTTACCCCCAGGATTTGGCTCAGACATGGTGACTCTGGTGCTGGCCATCGGGAGGAGCCGGTCCCTGAGACATGTAGCGCTTGGAAGAAACTTCAACGTCCGGTGCAAGTGAGCCCCCGTCTCATCCCAGGCCTCCCAAGCAGCACCCCTCTACCCTGGTCCCCTCTCCCAATGTAGGCCCCTGTCCACAGGGAAACCCTGGATGATGTGCTGCACCGGATCGTCCAGCTCATGCAAGACGACGACTGTGTGAGTTCACAGTACCTTGCGGGGTGCTTGGACAATAGACGTCTTTGACTATATTGATTCTTGCTTCCTCAGAGCCTCTGACCTGCCTTCTGCTGACACTCCAACTCCAATCACGGCCTTCTCTTCACCCCAGGCGTTGCAGTCTCTGTCTGTGGCTGACTCGCGGCTCAAGCTGGGCGCCGGCGTCCTGCTGCGAGCTCTGGGCGCTAATCCTAACCTGACCGCGCTGGATATCAGTGGCAACGCCATGGGAGACACAGGCGCCAAGATGCTGGCCAAGGCGCTGCGAGTTAACACGAGGCTCCGGTGGGCGGCGTTATTATAAGAGTGGGACCAGTACGGGAGGAGGGTGTGGTACGAAGGGGCGGGGCTGAAGGAGCAGACTGGGGGACCAGATAAATGAACAAAACCGGTGGGTTAGGCGGGGCCTTGCGGGGCTCCGCCCTCGACTGAAGCCCGGCCTGGTTTAGGTCTGTGATCTGGGATCGGAACCACACATCTGCTCTGGGGCTGCTGGACGTTGCGCAGGCCCTGGAGCAGAACCACAGCTTAAAGGCCATGCCTCTGCCCCTGAACGACGTGGCCCAGGCGCAGCGCAGCCGCCCAGAACTGACAGCACGGGCAGTCCATCAGGTGGGGGTCTCCTCCTCCCCCGATGTGCTTTGTGCAGTGGCTCCACCCTCTCCCGTTTCTCAGTATCCCGTGCCCCTAGATCCAAGCCTGTCTCTTGAGGAATAACCGCGAGGATCCCACCTCCTCTGGCCGTACATCCTGCCTTCAGCCATTGAATCTGGTCTCAGAGCACTCGGAGCAGGTCAGTGCCCCCCTCTACACACACACACACACACACACACACACTATGGGAGTCTTCGTGGTGAGTCAGACCCTATGACTCTCCTGGGCCCCCGGTGCTAAGTCCTGCTGTCCCATACAGTTTCCTCTCTTTGGTCTAGAGACAGCCATTTGCTCCGGAAATAACTCCCCAGTAACACCCCACTTGCTTTACTTCAGGCATGTAAAACAGGCTCTCCTGTTAAAGAAAAGATGTACTTAAAAATCCTACCTCACTTTCCCTGATTGTACCCCATCTGTGACTTCCCATTCATAGGGCGCCCCTCCTCTGTCCACTAACATCTGTGAGGCCAAAACCAGCAGCCCTGTCTCCGGCATCATCTCCTACTTCCTGGCCTTTTCAAGATGTTCTCATCTCTCCATCTCTCCCAAATCGCTTCTGTCCTAAGCTCCTGAGCCCAGGCACCTTGATCTAGACATTCTGTGGAGGCTTCACACTCCACATGCTTTCAGTGATTTCATCATCTCCCACAAACGCCATGCTCTACCTTGGAGTCCAGTTTCCCTGGTGCCCACAGCCACCAAGTGCGGTGAACAAAAGTTTGGATTTAAAAAAAAAAAGAAAAGTTTGGATTTGTTTCAAGTCCCTCCTGGCCACATTGGAGTCATCAGAGCCCCCTAGGTGCTGACTCTGGACCAACTCTCAAACATGAACTCCTCACCTTCACACCAACTGTCCTTTGCTCTCCCTCTCTCTCTGCCTTGGCTCATCACACACACACACACACACACACACACACACACACACACACACAATCTGTCTTCTAGGTGGGTGGTGGACAGACTGAATTTCTAAAACAAAGAATGACTAAAAGGTCCTTTTCTGTTCTGGGCACTTAGGAAATATCAAGTTCCTCAATGATCCAAAAGAAGAGACACTGCTCCACCTCCTTAAACTGATAGGGTTCCTAAGTGGCGGCTGCTTCAGGCCTCACCCACCCTGTCTGTGGCCCTAGGAAGGAGGCAGGCAGGCAGGGTCTGGGAGCCTAGGAGAGGACTAACCTGGGACTGATCTCTGATGCCCCCCAGGAAGTGAACGAGCTGTGTCAATCAGTGCAAGAGCACATGGAGCTGCTGGGCTGTGGATCTGGACCCCAGAGTGAAGCTGCTGTGCACCAGGCAGAGGATGCCATCCAAAATGCCAACTTTTTTCTCAGTGTAAGCACTCTCCCTTCCACTACCAGGGTCTTTCCCCTCTTAGTCACATGTCAACTTGAAATTCTTTTTCCTCCTTGATCCTTAGATTCTCCCCATTTTAAATGAGGCTGGGAACTCCCCAAGCCATCACTGGCAGTTGAGGCAGAAACTGGAGGCCCTTCTGGGACAGGTGGGTGAGGCCTGCCATGAGGACATCCAGGTGAGATGTACTTCTGCCCTTGCCCTACATCCATACGCAAAGTTAACCCCACCCCCCATTGACTGACTGTTATATCTTCTGAGTCAGTGGGGGTTTTCTGGGGGTAGAGCCTCAAGCCAAGAGACCTGGACCCTGGAAACACCTACAATATACTCTGATCTTTGTCCAGGACTTCATTCAGGCCATACTGGACACAAGGAGCCTCTGCCCACAGATGCTGCAGGGACCTGGCTGGAGGGAACAGCTAGAAGGGATACTGGTGGGCTCAAAGGGCCTTCCAGAACTGCTCCCAGAGCAGCTGCTGCAAGATGCCTTTGTCAGACTCAGGTAGGTTGGGTGAGGCTGGGCTGAGCAAATCCGTGCAAGGTTGGGGGGAAGCAGCAAACTAACCCATACTCCCCTGTCCTTAGGGACGTGCGGCTATCAGAGAGACAGTGCAGGACCCTTGCAGAGAGCATTGTGGCACAGGCTGTTGCAGGCCTGAGTGCAGCCCGGGATCGGCTGGTGAGGGAGAGCTGTTCATGTATTTGCACATACACAGAGTGACCTGGCCATCCTCCTTGAGGAGCTCTGTGATGTCTTCTGGGCTCATATAGCCGGGCTATTTCATCATTCTTTTAGCAGTGCCCATCTTTGAGTAATCTGGTATTTCAGGTGGAGAGTCTGGCTCAGCAGGTGCCAGTAGCAATACCACCTGCCCTTCCAGCACTGGACGGAGGTGAGCCCAGCCCCCTGGGGCCTGGGGCAGTAGAAGGTTTTTTCTTCCCTGAAGAAAAGGAAGATAAGAAGGTAAGTGATCCCATAATTCTAGGCCTAGGATTCAAAATCTTCCCTTCTTGCTCTGGGGTGTGGAAGATGAGAGGGAATTCTTCTGGAGTTGTGCCTCCCCACTCCAGGCTGAAGTTGTGCTCTCACCAGCAGGATGAAAGTCCTCTGAGGAAATGGCCTGAGCACAACCACTGTCTTCACCTGGTCCCCTTCGAGCACAGTAAGCCATGGCCTTAACGAGCCACATTTTACGCAAATGAGTCGAACCTCCATGAGACCTGGGGACCTGGACAACTAGACTGACGCTCATTCAGTCCTGTCCTGTGTACTGACCAACCCATGGCTGGGCCAGGCCAGGACCTCATGCAGCCTGCAGAGCTGGGGTCAGGACAGAGTGAGTCGTGAGCCCCGCAGGGGCTGGCAGCCCATCTCCGCTGCTCCCACCGCCCCTTATCCCTACCCACCATGCGCATGCTTGGCGGCGATGCGGAGCCGCGCGCTCGGGGCCGCGCTCAGCACCACGGACAGCGGTGGCGGGGGAGGGGCGGGGCGGGCGCGTAGCCGGGCCCCTCCCCGCGCCCAGGGCGGGTCCCCCGCCGCCCTAGCGCCTCCGCCACCACCTCCCCGGGGCTCGGTGCTCGGTGCTCTTCTGGTGCTCTCGCCTCAGGTGCTGCTGAGGAAGCAGAGCCGGAGCCCGAGCTGGCGGCTCCGGGAGAAGATGCTGAGCCGCAGGCGGGCC